AAAAAAAACGTATCAAAATTTCAAACTTTTTACCCAGAATATTTTTTTTGAGTGTAAAGTTTTACTGGCCTTTCAATTTTAGTTTAATAATGTGCAAGTTTCAAGTGGCTAAAAATTACCGTTGATTTTTTTAAATTTTTTTGCCGAAGGTGTTTAGCGCTGCCACTGAATTTCAGAATAAGTATGTAAGTATTTTAAGGAATCTTAAAAGAGCACTTAAAAGGGGAAAATTATAAGTAAAATGGGAAATGGAGTACGAAAAATTTAGGTACTTAGGCGGGTTGGGTTGTTGCGGTCACACTGGTTTAAAACAAATTTGTCCGGCGACCTTTTCCGAACACCTCCCACTCAGCTGACATTTGACGTTTGACTTGGTATTGACAAATTGCTTACGTGCAAGGAATCTCCAGAAGGTTCTTTCCTTTTTCCGGCCGGCGTTTCTGGAGTTGGACGTGATTTTAGAACCTTCACCATCAGACCGAAGCAGAGCAGCAACAAAATCGTGGCAATAGCAACCACGTGAGCCAAGTGTTAAGCAGAGCCACCGTGTGCAAAGAAGGTGGTTCCGGCGTTTGGGTTTGTCAACGAGATTTTTCCTTGAAACTGGTGGCGGAGGTTCGCCAAACGCACAATCTCTGAGTACCTAAGCGGCGTGCCTGTTCCGGTGCCTCCAGTAATTCGGTTTTGGCCGGCAAGCAAAAGTTGTGTGGGGCATGGTATATATCTTCCAGCCTTGGCGGAAGCCGCTCATCGAACGGCAATCTTCAGACCTAGAAACCAGGAGTCCGAAGGCATATTAAAATTCATAAGCGGAGTCCGGAGTGTCAGGTGAGACGGGTGCGTAATTTGGCCCGCGGAATTTTGCTCGCAGGGTTATACGTCCAGCACACGTGCCGCGCTAGGCGTCTTGAGTCGGTTTCTGTGGTTAGAGTGCTGATCTAGATAGGGGGAACAGGCGGAGGGAAAAAGTAGGGCTAACGTAACAATAGCTCGTGCATGCCCGCGCAAGACGTCTTGCAAGAGTTAGGCTGCAGACTATAGTGGGCGAATTTCGTGCCTCAAATCCCTACGGTTTCCGAACCAGTTCATCCGAGCCCTTTTAAGAATTCCTTCGTTATATGCGCGCGATGTGCCAAATTAGGCCAATGTCAAATGAGATTAGGCGACAATTTTAACCTTTACTATACTTATTATTAGACTTAACTTACAAGTGAACAAATTTGAATATACTCGATTGATAGAGGCCGATTGAACAGGTCATATACATACATACCTAGTTTAAGGACAATGTATAGTGAGTAAGCGATTGTGTGAATAAACTGATGATGGAT